GGAAATCAGTTAGAAAGACGTTCCAAACGCGGCTGAAAGATAGAAAATTCCCTAAGCGATACAAATAAGTCCAAAGTAGGTTTTCCGGAGGCTGAAGATCTGAAAAGGCCAGCTAAAAAAATGGCGAAAAAGTCCTTAAAAATTGGTCATCCTTCTTTGACTGCCAGAATATCCTTTGATGATCTTCAAACGGTTGGGGGTTGGCTTCTTAAAAAAATCCATTCATGGCTTAAAAACTAAGTAAGTAGTCATTAAAAAAACATATTTCATTTTGTTTTTATACTTTTCAAATATATTTTGGTTTTTTTTTTTTTGTTTTTGTTTCTTTGTTTGTTTCATATATTTATTGGCTAACTCTTTAAACTTTACTCTGTAGTTCTTTTTTGTTTTTACTTAATTCTTCTGGGTTTTTGTTTGTTTTTCCTTGTTTTTAATTATATTATTAGTATACATATAAATAATTAAAAATATTACATTAAAATGTATTCGTATATCGTATAGAAGTTGCTGGTTGTTGGATTTTCTTTTCATCATTTTCTTACTTTCTTCTCCTTCTTTCATCTCCCTCTCTTAATTTTTGATTGCGTTTTTCTCTCCCTTCGTTTCTTAATAACATTTACCTTTCATTTTACAATTTTGCTAAAAACTAAATAAAATGTTTTGTTTGTAAAAACAATAATAATAATAATAATTATTAAAAAATGTATGCTCAAATTATTGTTAATTGATTTATTATTTTTTTGTTTTGTTTTTAAATATTTTAAAAATTGGTAAAAAGCAAAAAAGCGCCTTCTTTTGATTTTTAAAACATATTTACGTATATAGTTTGCATCATTTTTTAATTTTCATGTTTTTATTATTATTTTTTTTACTTGTGTTATATTTTTATAAAATATCACCTAAAGCAATTACGTATTTCAGTTTCAGTATTTTTTGTGTGTGTGTTTTTTTTTTTGTATTTTAAGTTTATTTTTTACAATGCAACAATAAAAAATTTTGCTTCGTTTTTTTGTTTGTAATTTTTGTATTTTTTTTTTGGTAGCAAAACATTTAATACAAAAATCATTAAAAATAATATTTAACGAAAATGCAAAAAGCTCACACTAAAATCATAGGAAACAAAGTGTATTTTCTCTCCCTTTTTTGCAACAGTTTTTTATGTTTTTTTTTTAGGTTTTTGTTTTTAACTAAAAAGCGGCGAATTATGCTAACAGAAAGATTATTACATAATTACAGCGATCTTTTAAGTTTAATTTTAGTTTCTTACATACAAGTTTTTATTTTTATTTTTCTGGTTTTGAGACAAAGTACAACAACTATTTGAATTTCCTTTTTTTTTTATATTTATATTTATAATTTTGCAAGAAAGTTTTTGTTTTGAAAAAATAGTACAAAAGCTTTTCACGTTGTTGTTGGTTTTTTTTTTGTAGTTTTTGTTTTTGTTTTTAAGTTTTTTTAGTTGGCTATAATAAACCGCTGGGAATCGGTTCGACTATAGTCTAAGTATACAAATGACTGCCCATATAGCTGATGAACTGCGATCGACTGTTCGCAGTTCGTTTTAAGTACATTTTTGTTGGTTTAGTAGTAGGTCTACAACTCAAAATAGTAGTAGAAATTAGCAGTAGAAAGTGTTGTTGTTGGTTGTTGGTTGGTTTTGGTAGCTAGAAGAAGGGACTTTTTTCGCTTTGCTAACTTTTCGTATCTTTGAGTTTCGATTGCAAGTTTAGGGGGGCGGTGAAGGGGGGCCTGACTAAGAACTATATAACGTACGCTATAGTATACAATTCTGGGGAGGGGAGCGAGGGGTCTCTAAGTTTCTCGACTGCTCTCTCTCTAAATCAATTAAATTACATTAGCTTTCTCTCTTAGCTTTTTCCTTTTCTTTCTCTTTTTAATATTTATTTAATAATAATAGTATCGCGTAGTTTTTCGATTTGCTTTAGTAAATGCTTAAAGTTTGTTTTAGTTTTTCTTGTTTTTGTTTTTAGTTTAGTTTAGTTTAGTTTAGTTGCTGTTGATTTACGTATATCATTGTTCTTGAAAGTTAATCGGTTCATTTAAAATGTCGTTCGTATAGGCCCATTGCAATCCTCAATTAATTAAATTAACTTTAAGTTGTTTTTTGTTTTTTTTTTTGTTGTTTTCCTTAGTTTTTTGTTTTTTATTTTTAATAAACAATAAAGTTTTATTCGTATACTTTGCATTTGAACTCAGGTTTTTGGGGTTTCTTTTCTGGTATCTCTTTTTACGTATATGCGTTGCATGGTTGTTGTTTTTTTTTCTTCTTCTTGAGAGTTGAACAAAAAAGATCAACGAAAATATGTCTATATATATATTTTCATTTTAAGTAGTATTCGTTTTTTCTTTTCGTTTCACTTTTCATTTAGCATTTAGTTATTATTTGGCAAGTTCGCTTCGGTGTTGTAAAACACGCGAAGGGAAAAAGGACGTTTTGTTTTTGAAAAATCGTATACACGTTTGCTAAAGTGAAAAATTCCCGAAAAAAAAAATCAAAATCAATTTTTAAAAAAACAAAAAATTTATAATTGAAAACTAAGCATAGAAAATCTGTTTTAGAAAGTTTCTAGTTATTAACTATACTCTTAGCGTTCTTTCTTCTCTCCTCTCACTTTCGTTTTTCACTTGCGAGTGAAGTTTTAAGCGCAGCCTAGACTTGATTTTAGTTACAAACTACATGGCTAAGCGTTATCTCTATATTAGATAGTATATATATTTATAGAGAACTGTATTGGGGTTGGGGGGGGCGGTACAGGACAGGGTAGGGCTTTTAAAAAGGGTAACTCGAGACTATTAGACTAAAAGTCCGCCTCGTGTTTGATGCGATAACTGGCATAGGTCTCCTCCAGCGGTGAAAAGTCTTGGGTGCTGGGCTGTGATCATTTTCCAAGTAATTGGCACAGATTTAGGTAAGAATTTTTCGTAATATAGATATATAGAGAGAGATTTTTAGAAAGAATGTTTTTCGGGGGATACTCTGGTATTTTTCTGGTATTTTTTTTTGTATGTGAGCTATGTCAGTGTCTGCTGTGGCTGTGGCTGTTGCTGTTGTTTTTGCTGTTGTTGTTCAGAGATGGGGTGACGGGCGGGGGTTGTTGTCAAGTATTTACAAGTTTACAAACTCAAAAGAAGAAAACACCGATAGGCACAAACCTAACGATCCCAATCTGCCTAACTGACTGTACCCGAGATGCGGAAATCAGGGCAGAAAAGTCAGGCCAGCTCTCTCGTATATCATATCATATCAGAGTACATATATAATATATATGCATATTTTTGGGTATTTATATATATATATATATATAGTTTCTATATAGAACTCTATATAGAGTTATGTGCATATGTAAAATTGTTAAAAATTGGTTAGTTTTTTCTTTTTACGGGGCGGGGGAGGTTAGTAAACTTTCTCATAATATAAGTTTCATTACTTCTTTGTTTGTTTTTTTGGGGGGGGCAGGGGGTGTTGAGTGTGGTTTAAGGTAAAGAAAAAATAATCAAAAATAGTAGATTAATGGTGTGTTTTGGTGAGTGTTTAAGGGGGTGGGGGTTTTAATTTTTGTTAATAATAATTAATAATATATTGGCGAGCTATATGGGCCTCTTGCAAAAACGAAGTTCTGGAACATTGTTGTAATTTAGTTCTCAATTACTTTATGCTTTTCTCTTAACTGGCTTTTGTTTTTGTTTTTGTTTTTTGTTTTTGTTTTTCTTTAGTTGTTGGTACTTTTTACAAATTAAGCGAAATTGTTGTTGTTGTTGTTGCTCTAATTATTGTTGCTCAGTTGCTTTTGTTTAATGTCTGTTTTTTAGCTTTATCATTTACAATCTGCTTGAGATATATAAACTGATGTTGTGTTTACGAGTGTAACTGTGTTTATTGTTGTTGTTGTTTTGAGAGACAAAAATTGAGATAAACCTGTGGAAGGCACGCGGTACAGGTGCACAAAAAGTGTACTCACTTTTCGGCACTGGCCGCGGCTGTCCTCAGTATTGTATTGGAAACTTAAATTTATGGCATTTACTGTACACAGAGAGGAGAGCAAACAAATTTTTTTTGGGCCGTGGCAGCGCAATAGCAATAGCAACATTAAACGTTATCCATGAGATATATTCTCGTTGTGATTCGTTCGGTCGTTCGTCGTGTTTGTTGTTTGTTGTTGTTGTTTTTGTTGTTATTGGTTTTTTTTTTCAGTTTTCAGTTCGGATTTGTGGCCGAAGCCTCTTGGAAGCTCGTTTGTCGCTGGTTAGTCACTCATGTCGGTTACTGTCCTCGGCTTAAGCGTCTGCTGGCCCGACGATGTTTGCTGCCGTTTGCCGCATGTTGCTGCCGCCGTTGATGTTGCTGCTGCCGTTGCTGTTGCTGTTGCTGTTGCTGTTGCTGCTGTTGGCTCCTTGGCTAGGAAATTCCTCTGCTCTCCTTTTCGCTTGTATTTCTGTATAGTTCTGAATTTATTAATATTTTTATTATAAAGTTCTTCGATTTTCTTCGCTTTTTTTTTTTGTAATTTCTTCTCTGATTTCGGACTAATTTACAATGTGTTTGTGTTTGTGTGTGTGTTCTTTTGGGGGTGTTTTTGGGTGTTTCGTGTGTGTTCATAATGACGTACAACTTCTTCTGCGTTCGGATTTGGATTTGAATTCATCAATATTAATATTAATATTATGTTTTGTATTCGCACAAAGTGAATTAATTTTACTTAATTTGCTTATACAATGTGCAGCAACATTTTTGCTTATTTTTTTCTTTTTTTTTTTTGTATTTTATATTCTTGTGGTTATTCGCTCGATTGGCTCTTTATAGGTTTCGTATTGATTGATCGCAATTATTATTATTATTATTGATTCATTTAATCCCAGGGCATTGTGAGCACCCGCTTCGTTTTTGCAAGAAGGTCGTTATCGTACTACGAACATGGGTGCACCACCGCATTGTAGCTCGCCAATATAGGACCATGTGCTCCCGCGAAGGGGGTACTCACAACGTCTGGTGTACTAGCTCCATCGGTGTGCGATGTGGAGTCGGCATTGCTGCGACCTTCTCCGTTCGCCGATCCCAGTTCCGGTGGTTTGGTGGTGTCCCGTTCGTCGATCACTAAATCTATTGGCATTTTACCCTTTAAACACGATATATATCGATGACAGAAGTTATCGCATAATTCGTGTACCTGCAACGAGAGACAACCCCGCAAAAATGGCAGAGAAGAGGGAAGAGAGAGAGAGAGAGAGATCATCAGTTTTTTGTTCGTTTTCTTTTCAGGGGGGTTTACGTGGGGGGGGTGCAATGGGTGTACTCTCTAGTAGGAGGGTGCTCAATATCAAATTAGGATATTGCTTTCAGGGGGAGGTCTTATATCTATAAGTATTAGCTAAGGGAATGTATTATAAAATAGTAACTAAAGTAGATGATTGAAAAGATTATTAGCTTAAATAAATCATCATTTACTTTCTCATTTCAATCATCTACTTTGTGTTTAACAAATATCTTTTATCTACTCTCGAAGCCAGCTTAAACATTGCCATACTAAGCGCCATCGCATTCTTGCCTTAACCAGAAACCTGCTCATCCAAGTTGCCACCAACAAAACCCCCTTCGGATGCCCCTTTTGCAAATGGCATGCAAATTGCTTTTGATGCGTTACCTGAAAACACCAACAACTCCAACACTGTGGACTCCATCGCTTGAGAAGACCCATGACCATGATGATGGCACTCAAAAATGGCTGAGACTGAGGCAGAGGCAGCTTTACCGCCTTACCAAAGGTCCATAAATATGCATAGAGGTACGAAATAATGCACTGGCCGAAAAGGAAGTGGCCGGCTGAAAGAGGCAGGCAGCTTAGCCCCGGGGCACACTTTCAGCCAAATAACCAAGCCGGGCCAACCAGCAACAGCAACAGCAACAGCAACAACAACAACATGAGACAGCAGCACGTGCAACACTCGCATTAGCAACATGGAGAGAAGATCGCTGGCGTCATCGTTCAGCGTGGAAAAAGGCCCATGGAGTCTTGGCCCAAACAGAATGCGTTTTTAAGGCTATGTTGGTGTTGCTCTTGCCTTGTGTATGTGTGTGTGTGCGTGTGTGTGTGATAAAACAAATGCGATAAGGCCAAAGTGAGTGTGAGTCAGGCATATATGCAAATATGCAGCAACAAAGAGAGGAATGCAGCCGCCGACACGGCTAAAAAGAAATTAATTGCACTGGGCCATGGCTGGCAGACACAACAGCAACATCAGCAACATTGGCAACACCAACAGCAACAACAACACTAACAACAACAACAGGGTGCTCCATTTAACCGGGGCCAGGCATTTAATTTACGAAAAAGTGCGCGTTGCTTATGCAAATTGTTTGCTGTTGCTGCTGCTGTGTTGCTGCCGCTGCTGCTGCTTCTTTTCCTTTTTTTTTTTGGCCTGCGAAAGCTGCAACCGCCAGGCTATTAACTTGTTGCCCATTGCCAAAACTTGTCAAACTCGTTTGCAGGCTGCTTTCAATGTTATTGTCACCGAAAAAATACACGCAAAAAGCCAAAAACCAAAAAAAAAAAAAAAAAAGCCAACTGGTTTATGACAGGACAATGTCAAATTTGTCGCCGTTGCTGATAAGCCTCGGCTGTGGCAGCAACATGTTGCTGGCGAAGGAGTCTCAATTTTATGATTGCATTTGTAGCTGTCAAAGTGACCATAACAATATCCATAAAGCGTGCAATTAGCACGCCAGCAACATGTTGCCGCTGTGACCGTGCACATGCAACATGAGTGCGCCCACCAAATTGATATGTTTATGCGATGCTGCTTCTGCTGCTGCTCCTGCTGCTGCTGCTGCTGCTGCTACTGCAACTTGGGCCCTTCAGAGACTGTCGGACTTTCGATGCCGGCTGGCTGATAACTTTTGATTAATTTGTCAGCATTGTATGTGACATTTTCGAACGGCTCATTGCGATATTTATGACTGCCAGTGGCCCCCATGTTGATGTTGCACATTGCTGTTGCTGTGCCTGGTTCCTGTTGCTCTTGCCGTTGCACATTGGGTGGGCCCATGAGCAAGCAACAAGGGCGACAGGCGGACACAGGCGGACAGCAGCAACGGCAGCAACCAGAGGGCGTTGCTTGTAAATGCTGACGCTCATTTGTACATCCTGTTAAGCAAAACTTTTCACAGCAGCAGCAGCATTGGATTTTTCCCGGCCGTTTAAAACCTCCTCCTCCTCCTCCTCCTCCTCGCCCCCTCCCTGGCAGCTTCCTCTGTGTTCTAATCTCAATGCAAATCGCTCCAATCTGCGCAGTGGTAATTCTCGATTTCCGCTCATAGATAGCTCTAACTATACGAGTATTCCCCTCCCCCCATTCCTAGACATTTCTAAAGTCTCGGCACGCAACCTCCAACACACAGTCTGTCTAACAAGTTTACGGCACTCTCTCTATCCCTCTGACATTTAAATGCAGGCCAATTAATTGTAATTTCTATTGCATAAGTGCCGGTAATGGTTTATCAACTTTGCTACGAGACAATATGATCCTTACTGACTTTTAATATCAAATCTTAAGTCCAACTCATTAGGAATCTTTTTTTTTCTTACATTTTCTACTTCATTTTAGTAAACTTAGCTAGCAAAAATGCCAAAGAATACCTACAGCTTGCATCATCGGTCAAAAGCAAAAGTATACAGCTGTCGTTGGTGATGTTGCTGGTGCTGGAAAAAGAGAGATCCCGAAACGATCTTGGCCAAGCCATCAAAACAAGGCCCCCAAATCGCTGGTGGTGATGTTGTTGCTGGTTCTGTTCTGTTATGCCCCCATGCCGGCATTAACCCAACCGATTCCGATTCCGATTCCCCGATTCGATACTCCATACTCCCATACCCTCTCCATACCCATATATCTACCCCCTGCCGGCCAAGAAGCGTGTGCAACTGACCCAACGTGTTGTGTCTCCGGCTGGCTCGGTTTGTCTGTTTGTCCCACTGTCCATCAGTCGGTTAGTCCCACCGTCCCACTGTCTGTTTGTCAATTGCAATGCCTGCCTGCCTGCCTGTATATTTTTTTTTGTTGCTGTTTTTTTATTTTTTATTTTTACTTTTTTTGCATGTGACTCTGTGACGAGAATGTGCTGGGGAGCTAAAAAACTGGAGACTGGGTATTGGGGCCCCAAAGCCTGGAGCTTCGAGACTGAGACTGAGACTGAGACACAGGCAAACCAGTTTTTGACAGACACAAGTCTTGAAAACGTCTTTTTAACTGATTCTGTTCGCTGTTGTTGTTTTTAGCAGCGGCAACAAATATGCACAGATACAGATATACATTTACTCGCTTCCATATAGATGTTGTATGTTTTTTTTTCTGTTTTCTGTTTTTTTGCAAGTCAACCCGCACATTTTATTTAAGTATATTTTGTATTTCTTTGCAGTTTTTTTCGTTGTTTTTGTTCTTTTGCATTTATATATTTATTTTATACACCAAAAAATCGACCGCTGCATTTTGTTGGCTGCATATAAATGAATGTATTTTTTGAAGCCTTTTTTTTGTTCGATTTTAGGACTCTTTTTTTTGTACAAGTTGCTACAGTTCTTTGTTGGTTTCGTGTGTGTCGCAAGCTGTGTGAGTGACAAATGACAAAACAAAAACCTGTCGTGGTCTCCACGCCGCCGTCGCCGCTGCTGTTGCTGTTGCTGTTGCTGTGATGTTGATAAAGATCTTGACTGTTTATTTTTCTTGACTTTTCTGGCTTTCTATATAGTACAGCAGTACAGGGTGCAACAAATTGCAGCTGGCCAACTGACTAACTGACTAACTGACTAACTGACTAACTGACTGACTGACTAACCTAGCTTACTGCACTAGTTTTGTTTTTGTTTTGCGAACTTAGAAAGCTTTTTCAGTGATTAAACACTAATTGCAACTTGATTGACTCCTCTTCTTCTACAATCGATCTTTCCTTTTCACTGTCATTAGCCTATATCTGGGCAGAAAAAAAGAAAAGAAATACTACTAACCACATTCCAAGGCAAATGACTTTGGGTCTAGCAAAAGGGCTAAGATAGTGAGGCTAGAGAAAATCAGTAGCTAAGAGACTTTTAAGCCCTAACTTTAATCGATACTTTTTGTGTGTTTCTTTAACATTTATTTATTTAAATGATGTTGCCCAGATCTACTCTACTATATATTCCCTGAACGTTTTGTCTTGTTCTTTTTCGTTTTATTTATATTTTTTGTTGGTTTTTGTTTTTCGGTTCGTGTAGAATGTTTTGCATAATTTCTTACTTAAGACTTAATTGAAAATAAAGAACCAAAAACAAAAAAAAAAAACAGAGTGAAGAGCGTCTCTTTGGACGGGTTTGGACTGCTTGGCCGGCTTGGCTTAGCTCTCGGCCAGCTTTAAACTCCGGCTCTGGGGTTTCGGTTTCAGTTTCGGTTTCGGTTTAGGTTCGCTCCACGCTTCGTTGCGCATTTGCCTAATTAATTTTCTCAGCACAGCAGCAGCAGCAGCAGCAGCAGCAGCAGGGTAGAGAGGGAGTTAGCCGGCATTAATTACGACCACGTTTGAGGAACAACTTCCATTAAGTCAGAGAACGAGAGGGCGAGAGACACGCACCCGAAGCCGCTTGCATATTATTATTTGAAATTAAAACAAATTAGGCAACCTGTAATTTTTCCATTTAGACAATAAAGTGTCTAATAATCAAGTAGGTGTTGTATTGTAGAACCCTCTCTACTTCTCAGTATAAACACCCACCCTAACGAAAAATAAATTTATGTGCCAGCGTTATCTAGGAATTATGTTAGAAAATCTACGAAATTCTGCAGTCATCACACCTCATGTATCAACAACAAAAGAGATGCCGAAACCTGAATGCATTCCATTGTTCTTACCAAATTGTTTTCCTTTTTTTTGTTTTTATCTTACGCATGAAACTGTAACTGAACTAGAAAAAACACCTGCCGCTGGCCAAATATTTGTGGTCTAAGCCACATCCTGTTCCCCTCCCTGTTCTCAACCTAACAAATATTTCACTTTGATTGGCAATTAATTCAATTTTCAGCTGCATTTTTTTCCTTTTGGTTTGGTTTTGCCTTTAATTTAGACATTTTGCAAGTGTATTAGACTGCAGACTGTATATGACCGCCTGCTGTGGGACTCTATGGTCCCTCTTGGACACCCCTTCAGACTCCCCTTCAGGCACCCAAAACATGGCTCAATAAAATGTCAACACAAATGTTGGTAATTGAAATGCGCGCCCGTTGGCAACTATTTTGCCTGGTTTTTCTAGCCGAGTTTTATTTATGGGCCTGACGGCTGGAGACTGTGTTTTTGGGGTCCTGGGTTCCTGGTTAAACATTTTGGGTGGTCTTTTTTGGGGCGTTGATAAATGATTGCCGACGACTGGCTGGCTGGTTGGCTACTTGGCCTGGCTCTCTGGCTTTTCAGTTAATTGCAATGACTAAACAAATGCTGGTTTTTCCAGACTTTGGCTTTGATGAGTTGGCACAAATCGGCAATGTTTAAGCTGGCTTTATAGAGGTACTTATGATTAGGGAAATTACGGGAAAAGCGTTACTTACTTTTTCTAATTCTAAAAGGTGAAACCGAAGTACTTGTATTGCTTGCACCATCTGTAAAGGAAAGAAGAATCAGAGTTAGTTAAGTTATTGCAAAAATTGAAACATTTTCCTAGCATAGACTGGTCACACTTTATTCAAAAATAAATCTAAAGAAATTCTTTTCACTTTCCTAAATCCTAAACGTTTTACAAATTTCTTAATAAAACTTTTTATTGATTCTACAAAACATTCGCTTGCATACTCATAAAACACACACACACACTCACTCATATAGATTTGGTTTTGGTGCTGGTGTGACCAGACCGCTAATTAAAACATCACTTTGACATTTGACATTTTTACGATGCTGCTAACTGCTGCTGTGTGGCCTGTTTGGTTTTGGTTATTGTTGCAGCTACTGCCTGGAATTTCATTTTAAACCCAAGACATGCCATAAACATTTTTATAGCAAGGGGTTTCTTTTTATTTCTGCCTCTTCCTTTAAGTGAGTGTTACTAAATGCACTTTTAAATGTTCAAACACGATAGCGGATAGCGGATAGCGGATAAAAGGGGCGGCCAGACCAGACCAGCAGGGCGGGGGGAGTGGCAACCACAGAGTGGCATGCCAAAATGATTTATGGCCAAAGTACGCAGACGCAAGCAGGCCCAAAAGACAGATAGACAGACATACACGGCCATGGCCAAGACGATCTATGGTTGAGGGATATATATGTAAGTCATGTGGAGTAGAGGGGGGAAGGGAGGGTGTGTTATTTTTTTCAGTGATTTTGTACTACAACTAATAAACTAATCTGCAAGTGCATAAAATTAGGGCCACCAGAGGAAACTCCGCCGTGAGTGAGTGGGTAAGTGAGTGACACATTTACGACTGCCGGCAATTAAAATTAGTTTTGCCCATAATCTCTTTATACCCAGCCAGACTCTCAGCTATATATACGCATATATATATATATATATATATATATATATACATCTGGATTTTTCATCTGGCTTTAGCTTAGCTTCTGCTAGCCAATTGCATGGCTCGTTTTGCACTTTTTGCACGCGGCATTTCCGTCTTGATTTACATTCAGCTGGATGCTGATCTCTTTTTGGCCCCCCTCCGCCCCGCCACACGTTTCTCTCTCAACCATGCCCATAAAAATTGTTATGACTCGTCGGTTTGAGGAATGCCAAGGAAGGAAATGAGCAGGAGAAGCTGCTAAGCCGCTAGTATTGATGTTTGAAGTTGGTCAAAAGTTCTTTTCAGAGGAGGTTTCAGTGGAGGATTTTCTAGATTTAAGTAAGGAATATATATTATGATATTATATAGATTCCTTTTCCTTATTTTCCAGTGCATTAACTGACTCATTTGGTTTACTCATTTCAAACTGAACGCCACTGAAATGTCTGGCGGCTGCTGCTGCTGCTCTTTTAACGATCATTTCCTTTTGGCAGGCAGATTAGCATGAGTTCCGTTCCCCTAAACTATAATAATGCTCCTCTCGAAGATCTCAGCTCATCATGATCATGATCGCGCCAAGGTTGTGCTGCTGCTGCTGCTGCTGGCATTTGCCTTGGATTGGAGGAGGCAACCCCCCCCTGACTTGCTTGGTCCAAGATTGCGAATGCATATTCTACTAAAGTCAAGACGTTGGCTTCATTGTATGGTTTTTTTTTTCTTCTTTTTTGCATTTTTTACTTGTGTTGTTGTTGTTGTTTTTTTCTTTGCACACCCAAGGCTGGCAGGCAGGCAGGCAGCCCATTTAGAGAGTGCAAAAATGTCATATGCATCATTAAATCGTTCTGCTTCATATTGTCGTTCGCATGGGTTCGCGCTCGCTGCGCGTCTACTCCCCCCCTCTATATATATATGTATGCATGTATATATCCCCTCCAAAGACTATATATCCCCCTTGAGAGCTGGCAAAAATCAAGAGCGAAAAGTATGGCAACGCTGTCCAATAAAATGACTAAACAACTCAGTTCACTCTGACGAACGGTACGGCATTTTGCTCATAAATTGCGTTCGTCGTTGGCTTTGTGTTGCCTTTTGCTAAATTCACTGTGATTTATTCTAAATAAAAGAAAATTATTCAATTGTCGTCGTTGTTTTGGGTCAAGGTGATACTACACATACACACACAAACACACACACACACACACTAACTTAAAGAGAATGAAAGAAAAAATAAAAAAAGAAATAGCCATGATCTTTGGCTTTGGCAACTTGCTGCCAAGAAGGAGGCTGTGGCAACTTTGTTGCCAGCTTTGGTTTCATGATTTTTGTTTTAGTTTTTTTTTTTTTTGGGATTTTTGTTACTTACCAGTGAGTCGACTTCGGGATCTGCGGTATAATAGGGTTTCTGTGATCTTATCTGCAAGGAAAAAAAAAGGAAAAAAGGACAATGGTTAGAGAGTGTTAAACATACTCAGAGAAAAGTGTTTCTAATTTAATTGCAAACTTATATTTCCCCCTCTCTATATTAGATACTAACAGCAGCTGTTCTAAAAGCCAACGACTCTTTTTTTGCCATTTTATGATGGCCTGGCCGTTGATAAGCTCATGCCAAACCAAAATATTGTACACATTATAAAACTACAACAGCAAACATAAGCAAATCGGTTCCACGGCAATGGCCTGGGCATGGGAAACGCAACATTTGTGCTCATCAGCTCATCAGCTCATCATCAGTACCATCGGGCACATCAGCCAGACCCAAAGCCAAAAACCCAGGCCAGACCAGACCAGAGACCCCGACGAAGAGGTGACGATGCGACTCGCTGTGACCATAAAAGAGATTCTCGCTTTTATAGCAATCCCGAACACACCGAGCTAGTCATATACATATATATATAAAAATAAACCACACACTTAGATAAAGATCACAAAGGCAATATCTGACTAGATAAAATGCCACACAGACTGACGGATCGACCGAACGAGAGAAGGTCATCAAAAAAAAAAAATAAAATGCTGTGCGAATTATTCGTAAATCTCTTGTCGAATTCAGAGCTGGTGGCTTGGTTTTTTGGTTTTTTTTGGTTTCTTGATTTTTTGGCTCTCACGGAACTGAGCCACAATAAATGGCCAAGACGAGGGGAGTCTTCTGGGGTCTTCTTTCTTAGATAAACAGATATCGCCGACACACACACCCGCTGCGATAACTTATATAACGGTCGATGGACCTGACCTTGTACAAAATGCGTACGAAAATGGGTTTTGTGGTTTTTTTTTGTGTGTGCAAAGTTGTTGTTAGATGACCGACCACCCAGCAATGTGCAACAAGGTTGCCCTGCCAGGCGGGGGGTCTAAAGAGAGGGTTGATTTTATGGTCTTAGGGATAGAAGGCATGACCCTGAAAGGAGTTAAGGGGATTACTGATCTTTGAATGTGATAGGAAGGTCTGCTGGCTAAGTAAGAGAACTTTGTTTTGGTATGGACTAAGGTCACACTTTTCGTGAATTGGATGCACTGCATGGTCACACTAAGCTTTCTGATGGTATTTTGACAAGTCTTAAGTTAAACTTTGGTCATCCCTGAGGCAGAATACCCACTTAGAACCTCTTCTACAGCTAGAACTACGATCTCCTGGCACTTTGGCCAACCCACACAGTCTCTAGTTCGAGTTGGAGTTCGAGTCCAGCGGTCCAAGGCAGTAACGGCAATTTGAAATCAACTGAGGCATGTGCAGCTAATAATTACACACTTTGCTCAGGGTGGAAGGCCAGGCGAGGCGAGGCGGGTGAGGCTTGTATCTAGATATGTGGGCACTTCCATGCCATTGTATGAGAAAAACGCCCCATTGTAAGAGTACCAAACACCATGCCACACAACACTCCATGCTCCATGCTGCCTACAATAATAACAAACACAAAGCACGGCCATTGAAGAGTCGCGATCGAAAAATGATGATGGTGGGGTAGGTAGGTAGATGCGGGGGGTTGGTGGCGTTGAGGCCAAGTTGCGTGTTGGGTATTTTGCAAAAGTTGTTGCCTGTTTGGCTTTTATGTTGCATTTTCAAATGCTGGTTGGCTGGATGTTGGGTGTTGCACACACACAGATACAGATACAAAAACAAAAACAAAAAAAAAGAAAAATGGGAACTTGCCAAACTGGTTTCGCTATGCAGGCTCGCGCTTTTGGCTTTAACTGATATGAAAAGCAGAAAGGCAGTCGGCCAAAGTAGAAGTGGCCGGGCTTATAATGCACGCACTTTGCCGGAGGTTGGCTTGATCTTTAAGAAACTTACATATAAGAAAAAGATGTATATAAAATGGCTGCCCCAAAACCTTAAGGTTCATCCTAATTGAAGTAAAAAAAAGAAAAGCGAAAGAGACGGAGACGGAGATGATTTTAAAAATATATAAATCATGCGGCCAACTACTAAAATGCACAGCATGAGACAAGTCTATAAATACACGAATGTTCAGCAGTTGGGGCGTGAAAATGAAATGGAAATGGGAATAAAAATGAATGTGATTTTCCTTCTACTCCTCGTGTATGCTTTTCCCAAAAAAAACAAAAAAAAACATGCCGCTGCTTGCGTGGGCGTCCCTGCAGCTGACAATTTTGTATTTATAGTTCAGTTTTATTTCGAATCTAAACTCAAATCGACTCATTGCGGAAATCGTCACGCGCCTCACCAATTCGGAACCTGAGAACTTAAATGCGAGCCTCGTAATCAGTTTCACATGAGCACCTCATAAATTTCTATTTCTGTTTTTTGTTCGCTTTTTGTTAGTTTTTTTTTATTTTTTGCGACAATGGGGACGGCAAAAGAAATCACTACTGTTTAGATACTACTATATACTGCTCTTCAAAGCGCCTTTTTTATGATGCCAATAAATGCAATTATACAACCGGCAAAAAGGTTTACAATGTCGCGTCTCCAAATCGCTGGCCTCAAAGATACAAAACGGGAAAATAAAATATTAAAAAAAAAATCGAAACTCAGTCCCCATCGTAGGTGTAGGTGGTCATAAATTTCCCGCGCTAGCGATTATACGAGGGGAATTTTGAAATCAGTACAATTTCAGCAACCACGTGCTATCATTCCCTGTCATAAAAAACTATATAAATATATATATTATAGGAAAGAGAGAGAGGTATAGAGAGAGGGGGAGGTAATCTTATGATTCAATCAAAAAGTTTTCTTAGACAATTATCAAAGAAAGCGAAAACTGAAAGAAAAACTAAATCTGTGTTCATAAAAAGACAGAAAATAAAAGCATTCATTCTAGGCAAACCGAACTATATACGTTTTATAATGCCAATACACACGGTTGGGCATGATTTTATGGCCAGGTCGGGGCGGTGTTTTGGCTTGGCTATAAAATCATTCCGAGCCAAGCGAGGAGATAGCCCCCGTACTAGGGACAATAGTACGGCTATTTTATACACATTTTTGTTGGTCTCTCTCCTACTCGGCCACAGGCACTTGAGTAATGTGGTGTTGGCCATAAAGTCGTCCCCCCACCCAATCCAGTCAGTCAGTGGTTTTTGAGACTACTAAGGCCTAGGTACTACTGGGCGGCCATAAAGCAATTTATGCACCGCCACACCAACGCCCCGGACACGGACGGACTTTTGGAATCAGAATCAGCGCACAGTAGCCAGGTTGTTGTCGTCGTCGTCTGCCTGTCGATCGCAATTGAGCCTCCGAGCCACTTGAGAAAACAGTGCAGTGATAACAGTGATAACGTAGTATCAAGAAAAAAAAGGGCTGGTAGAAGGAAAAAGATTCGCAAAAAGTACACAAAAAGTGGGAAAAGCCCAGCAAGTCATTGAGGCTATAAATGAGTTAGAAAGTGAGTTAGAAACCTGCCTAGAACCTAGAAGACCACCAAAGTTCAAAGTTCGAGTTGGAGCGAGTATGGTTTTTCCCTAGAGAATCCCGCCCTGTTATTAGTTGATCTAATTGCGGATTCAAAAGCCAGCGGGGTAGATGAAAAGCGAGGCGCCTAAATTGCAGCACGTAGCCGCATTATATTATTTTCATTTCCATGTTGCGTGCCACGGCGCCAGCCGCATGCGGGTTTTCCCTGCCCCTTTTTTTCCCCCCTCCAATCTTCTTTTTTCAACATTATAAACAAACAGAAAAGAGCAACAAAATATATATATTTTTGGGAAAGAGATAGGCAGGCGACTGGCGAGTGTCTGTGGCTATGTTATCAAGATTCTTGGGCCGAGTGGCCCGAAGGAAAAACCAACCAAAAATTAAACTAACAACCGAAGATGTAGATAGAATTCAGACCAGAAAGCTTTGAGACATAATATTATTTGCTGTTTTTCGTTTTGGGAAATGAAAATCTTGTAACCGCAGGAAAAACATAAGAAGAACTTTGTTCAGTCACTGCAAAATTGCAGTTACCTCAAAGCAGCGAAACGGATACTAAAACTCAACCCAACTCGAAACGAGACAAAACCATATCGGGTTTCTCACACCTACACAATGGGGGGGAAAATGGAACCACGCTTAGGTGCCTAAAAGCTTGCACAATAAACCAGAAAGCAGGGGCTAAGGTTTCAGGGGGTTAAGCTAAAGGGGGAGAAGTGATTTTCACAAAAAGCAAAATTGAATAAATATTAGCAAAGATCACAGAAACTATAACCATTTAAGTTACTATCTTTTCACCCCCTTTGAATTGTTTTTAAAGGCCGCCCTTGTACTATGCAACCCACTCATAAAAATAACAATAATTTCGTTGTAATACAAAACCAAAATCCAGCAGAGAGAACTTTATTTGCCTATGCGATGACGACGATGATGTTGGACTTGTTTAATGTCGTTGATTACTTTTTCCCCCGGCATCATCAGCAAACACAAATAGAACAAAAACAATAATAACCCAAAAACATTCTAGTTGTTGTTGTTGTTGTTATTTTTATCTATATCTTTATAATGGACTCACAATATCGGTAGTAAAACAGCCGCAATTGAGGTGACACAAGCAGAAAAGTAGAAACAAAACCAGAGTACAGAGACGACGACGACGTCGACCCCCACCCAGAACGACCAACACCACGTTTCTGTTTTTTTTTTTTTTTTATAACCTCATGTTGTATGGGTTATGATGGGGTCCCCGGGAGATACTCCACTTCAGATACTTTAGTTTATGACCCAAAAGTAAACTCACTCACTGGGCCAGCGCTACCGCTCGCTCAGCTAGCTAAACCAACATCTAACGCGTATTTTCCCTCTGTGTAGCAAGTAAACACACAGCAGACGAGTGCTGTGCAGCTCTCTGCAGGGCATAATGTTAATATTTGCATTGGCCAAGAGATTTTCTGGGCTGCCTCATACCTGAACTAGAGAGATAATTCTAATGTTGCCACTAAACATCCGGTCTTTAACTGATAATCTTGTAAATAGCAAGAAAATCTTTTAATAAAGACAGAGAGAGAGACAGACAGAGAGAGAGAGACTCTGTCTGAAATTATCATAGAAAGATGGTTGACAAGTTGGCCTGTCAATTGTGGGGACAATTTGTCATTTTACAGCTTTTGGCTTTTAATTGAGAACGTTTAGCAGACATCTCGTCTCGAGAGCCCAAGGCCCATAAATCATTTTGGGTTAGCTTCTATGAGAGAGAGCGTAAGGGGGTATAAGTTCTTTCCCCCATAAGTAACGCCACATAAATAAAAAGTCGCAGCGAAAGAGTGAAATATATTTCCCCAAGAACGAGATTCATTTTTCCATTTAGAAAAAGTAACAGGAAAAATGTTAATAAATTCATATTGATCTGATGTCTAGCTAGTAGTTTCGTTATCACTTTGTGGCTCTATTTCTTTAATGGGTTAACACACATATTATGTATCTAGCAGATACACAGATTCTATACCCTATACCCTCCTTCTCTCCTGGCATATATAGAGCTGTTAAAAAGGGTCAAACTACAGAACAAATATTGAAAGTCAGCAGCAGCAGCAGCAGCGGCAGCTCGAAAATGTTGCCATAATCCAAACACAAACTGAGTGAAAGAGAGATGGTCATAGGGCATAGTGTAAAAGAGAGAGAGAGAGAGAGAGCTATACATGGCTGGCAGTTAACTAAATAATCACATTTAAAAGGCGCCAAGTGGTTCCATAAACAAATATTTGAGGGAATTTGGAACGCATCTCGTCTGCTGGCTGCTAATGGATTGTGGCTCGTATGCAACTGTTAAGTAAATAATCTTGGAAAATCCACCCTGCGTTCGATAACCCACCCAACCCCCTTCTTCCTCTCCTTGGAAACTTTTCTTAGGTCTGTGCCAAATCAATTCACGCTGTGCAATTGCGGCAATCAAAATCAACATCAACCACAGATGCAACGCAATTTCCAAACTATTAAAACTCCCCTTGATTTTTGTTCTTTTTTTTTGGGTTTCCTTTTTTTGGAAACAGTTGCGTCTGCGCAGTTTTGCTCATTTCGCAGTTTGGCTAACGAAATTAAAATATAAAAAAGGCAAGAATAAAAAATAAAAAAAAATAACAGAGGGATTCCTTTGTTCTGGCTAAGAAATTCAAAACCCTCTAAGGGTTGCGATCGCACAAAAACTAAAAAAAAAAAGAACAATGCTTTGATAATAAGGCTAGAAAGAGGGAGGTAGAGGCTCACCGAGTGAGCGAGAGAGGGAGATTAAAAAGGTACCAAATTCCAAATAAAAAGGTAAAGGTTTCTGTATATTCTCTTTTTTTTTTATCATTAAAAGAACAAAACAGAGGAGAGTCGAAGAGCAGGGAATATTGCACAAAAGAGATTAAGTTCCTTTTTCTTTCTTTTTCTTTTTTTGGTTTTCTTGGACCCCGAGAAACGGAGAAACGCAAATGCGTAGAGGAGAAAGGAGAATTGGGACGACGAGCTGAGATATCTCTCCTACAGAGATCCCTCGGCAAAGTGAACATTCCAATGATCACAGCCGTCCGTGCTCCTGCTGACAATACAAAACCAAATGCTAAGCGTAACCTTTCATACCTGATTATGAACTTCTCCTTCTCCTCCTCCTCCTCCTTCTTCTTCTTGTTCGTTTCGGTTGAAATCAGAAAATGCAATTTACGAAACAAAAAAAATCAGGGAAATGGTATGAGAAAAAGGTAAGCCAAGGTAAATTGCCTTTTGTAGGGAAAACCCAACCAAAGGGACATACTAATGCAGCCAAAGAGAGAGAGAGAAAAACCCAAAACATTGATTGGCATTAGAAGGGCGGCTTAACCTGTTCGGTTACGGTTACCTGCTTTTTCTTCTTAACATTTTCCTGGTCAGTTTTGAAATGTTGTGACAGTTGTTAGGCAGCCAGACAAATGTCAAGGACAGACAGCTAAAGGCACTTCATTAATCATCAACCAGATTTAACCCCCCTAACCCCATACCCCCTGCACTACCCTGCAACACAAATCAACTCATCGCATGTCCAAACTATTAGCGAAAATGTCAAGAAACGAGATGATATTCATTAAAGGAGATTACTTCGAAATGAAAATGCATATAAAATGATTTGCTTTTGTCTCACTTTTCGTTGGCTGCGGCAACAAAGAAGAAACGATCAGACAACGAACTTTTCCCGTTGAGAGATTTTATTTTTATATTTACTTAATTTTTCTTATATTTTTTGTCTTTATTTTTTGTTCCTCATTTGCTGGTTTTTAAAGAGAAATTATAAAGCGTTTCCTTAGCTGCATCATTAGCAGCGCCAACACCAAAAGTAGCCTAACTATGTATGGCCCCGTCATCCAGAGCAGAGATATATATCAGAAAGAGGGGCATATCTGAGGAATGAGTCTCTCTGAATCTGAATATAAGGAAAACATCAACCTAAAGCTGCTGGCGTTGGCGTGGTGGCGCAGTTTTACGCAGTTCCTTAGTCCAAATTAAAGTGAATATATATATATATATAGCATAGCGGGAGAGTGCCAACGAAGAGATATATCTATGCAATCTATCTATATAAAATGCATCGGCATCAGCATCATCATCATCATGATCAGTAGAAACAGCAGCAGCAACCACAACTACAACGAGTAAAAAAGTGCCAATGTGCTGTATTTTTAGCCTTATTTCTTCTGGGGCGACGATCTTTTCTCCTCCGGCTGCTCGTTTGTTAAAATTCGATGGGCGAATGACATTTTTGAGTTATTTTTGTCAGTCCGACAACGACGACGAAAAACAAACCAAGAACTCAGCCAAAAAGCTGCCTGCATATACTGAACGGAACGAACTGACTGACTCAATTCGAGAAGAAGAGAAGATACAGCAAGGCGAGGCAAGTTGAAAACCAAATGCAAGCGACAACTTAGTTGTTGACGTTCCGTTCGTTGAATGATCAACAAATGTCAGCCGAAAGATGCGATCATTGAAGATCGTTTTCGAAGATACTTTAACTTTGAGTCTTTGGATTTTTTGTAACTATATAATATTTATGTATAAACTAACCCCAAGTTTCTTATGTACTTCCACATTTTCCCATCATTTTATTATATTTTTATGATCTCTCAACTTCCGTCCCCTAATTAGCTTGAAGGCGTTGCCATCTCCAACTTTTATGTGACATTTCATTGACAATCTGACAAAAGTCTATCAAAATCTCACCCAGCCAAAGACCGACCACGAATGATCTTGATAAATGTGACTCGACTCTGAGTTGGTGTTGCTGTTTTATGTTGTTCTTGTGGCTGCTTCTCGTTTTATTGCCCATAGCAGGGGCCTGTCAAAATTCCAAATGGACCATAAATAAGAACATCATTTTTATAATATTCAACCGGGGGCGTCGCTTGTTTGCTGTTTGCTGTTTGTTGTTTGTTGTTTGTTGTTTGCCAAAAAAAAAGTGTCACAAGAATGGAGTCATAAGTTGTTCTTCTTCTGGGTGTCTACTGTTTCTCAAATGCGATCTTCACTGACTCATAAAAATAGGCTGGAGGGCAGGATGTGGAGCAGCAGCAGCAGCAGCAGCCGCAACAGCAACAGCTACTTGCAACATTATAATTTGTATGTTAAAACATCGTAAATTATCGAAATGACAGTGTGTGGCAGAGTATCTTTGGTATGGTTTTATGAACTCTAAAAAGGGGGCGCTAAAGAAGGCGTGGATGTGGCAAGAAGGAGAAGAAGGAGTAAGATCATGAGGAAGTGTCAAGTGTGGGCAGCGCCATTCTGGAGTCACATCGCATATTTCTGACATATGGCATCAAGACATTGTTGATCTTGTCAACCAGAAGGAGGGGGAGGAAGAAGATGTTGCTCTTTGCCAGCGGGGACTGTAATTAAGTGCAGGCTGCTGGCTGGTCCGCTCATTTGAGATGAAGAACCGAAGAATCGATCCTCAACGATCCTCGGGGCAATGTAATCCGATCATTTAGCGGCTTGCTTCGTTAAGTTCGTGTGCCGCGATTTTGCTGCTGTCGTTGCTTCTCTGCCACTGCCACTGCTGTTGTTGTTGTTGTTTTTATTATTTTTATTTATATTTATTTAGTGGCCACATGTGGGCCATATGTGTTCCCATCTTAAGCCATTGCCAGGCCATCCCAGGCCAGGCCATGCCATGCCATGCTATACCCCCAACCCCAACCCCAAACCTTAGTCTTCTTCTCACTCAAAAAGCAAAAATCGTCTCCAATTACCGAATTGGAAACGAAACGAAAGCTGTGGCCATTATTCTTACCTGTTTACTGAACATTGCAATATCCTCGTTGAACGATTCCGACGAACAGACATCGCCACCTTGCACCCCGGGCTCCCTCGGCGTACATGTGGCCAATTCGCACTTCTCAAAGATCAGCGCCAAGAGCGGGAATAGCGGATGTCTGTGAAATGAAATAAAAAAATATAATAAATAAATAAATAAATAAAACATTAGTTGGTTAAGTTAAAGGACATTTCCTGCCTGCCTTTGCTACAATATGCTAATTACCAGCTGGCATTCCCCGATCTTTATCTTTTTTTTATATCGTTTTTGGTGTTGGCAAATAAAAATCATGATACTAGTGTTAAAAGAGCATTTGTGGGTTAAGTTAGCTTTGGTAAACTAGTTAACTTAAGATCTCTTAATCATAACTTTAACTATTTTTAAGTTTAAATTTACTAAAAAGAAACCCAAAACCCTAAAACCCTGACGAAGGACACTTCCTGTCCAACGGAAATGCAAATGAGCAGCTGCCTTTTCTCCATCTGCAACTGTATTTGTTTCTATATCTGTTTCAGTATCTTAGCCTTTATACACACACTCACACACACACACACACACACTCTTACTACGACAGAAATAATCCCCCTCTTCATGCTGACGGATTAGTTCAACAACTCAACATGATTTGACCATTTTTTTTTTTTGTTCTCCACACTCGGAGGAGTTTGGTAGTTTTTCCCCTGACCAATTTCTCAATTTCTGTACAAATTGCACCTGAACAAAATTAGGCGGGACCCTTGACCAGAAAAAGAGAACCCATTAGATGGCTCAAACAAGGAAACCAGACCGAAAAGAGGGGGTGTCGACCTGCGCTTAACAAACTATTAATAAGAGACCGCCGAGTTGTAGTCAGCAGCCTTTTACAGTTGAGTGCGTTTTTCGGCCTGGGATCATCAGGAGCAGAAAAGGCTAAAAAATAAAACCGACTGACACTCATTTACGATGACCAGGCAGAAAAGAGCAGCTGAAGTTTGGCTGCCAAGAAGGTGTTAAGCAGCGAGCTCTTTTTCCCTTTGTCTTCCTCCTGCCTTTTCCACAATTTCAATTTGAATTTCAATAAAAAAAAAAGAAGGTGCCAAAAAAAAACGAAGGAGAAAAATAATACAAATAATAATCATAATGGCAGGTGCTCAATGAAGTCATAATCATCATCGACGTGTTTGAGCCGACACTCGAGACAGGGAGAGCGACAGGGACAATCATCAAACAGTCATCAAACATAAGTCATTCATGAAATTCCCTTTCAAACCAAATATTTGCACAAAAAAAATATGAGAAAATATGCAAAAGAAAAAGAGGAACCTCTTGTGGTGGCACTCAGACAGCTGGCAAAACAGTTGCAACACAAGAAAATTGCCAGGACACGCAATGACATAAAAACCCTAACAGATCGGGTTAGAAAAAGAAACTATAAACGGGGGAAAAAACAAAAAACCATCTCGAAGACATTAAAAGAAACCACAATTTTGGCAAATTAACACTCGAACCGCAGAGCCAGAAACTGCACCTCATTTTCAATGGTCGACTGGTTGACTGGGTTTCAGTTTTCGGTTTCGGTTTTTGGACTCCCTAATGCCTAAGCACGTTCATGTTCCGTGTCCGTCACTAAACACCTGACACACCCCCAAGATAGAATTGGAAAACGGACATTTTTGTTACGATTCGCTCGAGCCGCCAAAGGCAAACCCATAATTTTGTATTTTGCTCAAAAGGCAAGAGGATCACGCCCCTTTCTTTGCCACTCTCTCTCTCTGTATATCTCCCTCTGTTTCTGTCTTTAAAAAAAAGGATCATTTTTTTAGAGTTACGCGTGCTTTGAAGGTGAAAACAGGTGGCAAATTGGGTTGGATCAATGGGGGCATGCCAAAAATTATAAATCGATAAAGGGCAAGGGTATTGGCAAGGGTTTTCAGATTGATTGAAAAATGTTTAGCTGGGAGTTGTTGATCTTTTAAAACGATTAATTATGATTTATAATTTAGAATTTAATGAATATTTTTCCTTTTTTTTAATCTATATTATTCACCCAACTTGAATGATCTTCAAATGGCTAGAAATCTGAACTATTTTTCTGTTTTTAATCAATAACAAACTTGACAGCTAGTTTCATGGAATCCATTTCCCACATTTCTCATTCATTAGTTGGGGCCCTAATCTCTGTAACTAAGCTAAATTTGACAAACAACACAAGATCATCTTGGGTCATTGGAACAGAGTTTCCACCTCACTCAAAACTGAGACTTTTCCATTTTTGCCATATAACATACTAGCACTATATATACTATATACTCACTCATAAATCGCATCCTTATCACGTTTGTGTACTTCGGGTATTGCGCCCATTAGGTGATTACCGACCGGCGATACATGACTAGGTGTTCCATGACCCCCGGCACCCGAATGGTAGCCGTGCATGCCCACTGTGGCCGCCGCCGCCGCTGCGTGCGTCATGTGCGGAGAGTGGTGCGAGGGTAGGCCCTGCAGTCCGGGCGGCCGGTGTCCGGCGTGTGGATCATACATGGCCGCTGCGGCGGCACCGGAGTCCATGCCGTAGCCGTGTAGGCCATCGTCATACTAAAAAATATTGAAAATTTAAAGAAAAATTTAGTTAAGTTTTTTAGTTAGAGGGTTTACTGAAAGGGTTTGCTCTTAGGCAGAGCTTAGAGATCCTGAGAGTGTTGTTTCCCATTTTTATCTTTTCTTTTTTACTTCTTTTAATCGCCTTCTTAACTAACCATTTCTTTCTCTAAGTGCAGCCAAATTAGCGGCAACATGAAATCTTTTTTAAGCACACAAAAATTTAAATAAATTTTCTAAATTGAAGACTCTTAGCCAGCACAAAAAAAAAGAAGAACAAAAAAACATACAACTGACGACCTTGTGATTACTTTGCCGCTGCTTCGACATTATATAGATATATATATCTGTATATATAGCTATGACTTGTTACCTTACTTTTGTCTTTCAACGCTTTTTGCATATTAATTAAGCGCCAAAAGCAGCAAACAATTTTGAATATTATCAGTTAATCTGTCCAGGCATTTTTTCACTTTTCTGATTTCAGTTTTGAGTTTTAGTTTTGTTTTTTGTTTTTGGTTCTCTAAAAGTTGTACAACATTTTGTGAAGCCGAGCAATTGCAAACAGGTTTGTGTGCAACAAAAATAATAATAACACCAAAAATGATTTTTCTTTGCTTTTTTTTGGTCTCCTCTTCCTCTTTTTTTCCCCCCCAACAAAAGTTCAGCTCGCTGTGTGTGAGATTTTTATCATTTGTACTCAAGTGGCGTCGCCTGCCTGGAGAGATACACTTCTCCTTCTCGCTTCACACTGCATAATTTGAGGCAACACGAAGAAGAAGGAGAAGTTGACAAAAAGATTTTTGTGCAGCGACAAGAGATGATGGTTGGTTGGTTGCCCCCCTCTTCCCACCTCTTGGAAAAACAAGTTGAGGTTGATTTTTTATCAGCCTGGAAAAATCTTTGACACTAAATGAGCAATTGACTTGCTGTTGAGTGAGAAAGAGAAGAGTTTGGAGTGTGCAAAAATTGTGGGGCGAAGAGGAAAATGTCAAGGATTTGCAGCTGTTAAGGAAGAAGCTACTATATCTTTGTATCTATATAAAAATATATATATATATATCTACAAAATAGTGCAATCTTTGAGGCAGCTGTTCTTGCAGGTGGCTTTAAGCTTCTGCAAAGACGATTGTCAACCTTTGAGGTTGGCAATCCTTGAGATACAAACCAGAGATTAGTTTAGTGAGACGGTCGTGCTGCCTCCGTTTCTTTTTCTTTCTTCTTCTTTTTGTGTGCACATGCATGAGATACAAACTCATAGATACCTACGACTAATACTACTACAAAAACCTAGCGTCTTGTCCGGGTTTTTAGTTTAGTTCGCTTTGGCTTGGCGTTTTTCGGTTTTTCGCGCTGGTTCGTTCAGTTCATGGCTGTTAAACTATAAAGTTGTTATGCTAATTTTAGTGTTGGTGGCAGCAACTCTTTTTTTTTTTTCATTTTATTTTTCTACTCCTTACCGCCCGTTTCGATTTCTTTGGGCGTTCGTTTGGCTGGGTTCGTTTAGAAATGAGGAAATTGTGGGGCAGCAACAAAGAGATCTTGAAAATTACCACAATTTGTACTTGTACATAAGTAATGTGGGAATTTGAGTCGCCACAGCCAAGCAGATGAAGAAGAACAAGAGGAGCTCAACATACAACAACAACAACAAAAACACAATGAAGAGTAAAAATCGAACAGGCAAATACACTTAAGTTTTCTCTGTTTTTGTTACCCGAACCACCATTTGGGCCAACTTTGATTGATGATCTCTGAACGTTTTTGGGTCTATCTCTCTATCTCTTTCTCTCTCTTCCGCTGTCCCTGTATTATTTTTCAGCATTTTTCTCTCTGTTATTTAGTGACCAAGCCATTGACCTTGTTGAATGGAAAAGCTCTTGGCCAAGCGGATCAATATAAGCCAAAGCCAAAAACAAACCACCAGCAACCACCAAAACAGTCGAGGCCCATGGTCTGATTTTGACAAGTTCAGCGTCGAAAATCCTTCAAAAATTTATGACGACCCTTTCACCCCCGCCAAAACATCAGCTAGTGGGTGCGGTGGGTGGCGGTGCTCAAAACTGTCAGTGACAGGCGCTGAAGGAGCTACGATTTTGTTTTTATTTTCATAGCAGGGAGTTTTCCTGCGTTTTTCCCGCTACTCTTGTGTCCCACTTGCTGTTTGTCGCTGTCTCTCTGTATGTTTGTGTGTGTTTTTGGTATGTTTTTGCCGTGTTTGAGCCACATTAAGTCATTGCTAAAAGCCAGCCTACCAGCCTACCAGCTAACTAAAACAGCAACAACTCAATTGAACTCTTCAGGCACAGCTTTAATATTCAGATTTCTGGTTAAGTTTTGTAGTTTAACTAGGGCTTAACTAGAATTGCAGGAAGTTTTCTGGGTTTTAGTTTGTTAAAGAAGTTTGTTTGTTAAGGTGAAATCAATATTAAGCAGCTATGAATGAGGGAAATACAAAGTTTACCTACTCTTAAAGCAGATCTAAGGTTCTATTCCTCTGTAAAATGTTAAGTTTTAGCTTGTAGTTAGTTCCAAACTTCGTTTATTTGCTAAAAAATAGCTTAAATTTGAAGTCAGGTAACTTTTAAACTTTAAACTTAGCACTCAAAAAACCTGCGTGAACTTGAAACTATTGCAAAAGCTGCCTTTCCACCAAAAACCCATGGAAGAGAGGAACCGGAAATAGCCGCACAGCAAGGACACATTTTAGCCCGACTAGTAAGGGGTTTACCCCCTTTGTGGGTGGGTTTTATCTAGCGGCGCCTAAAACTGACCAAAAACCCGATGCCAACGGCAGAAGAGTTATGAGTGCAAAAATGCAGCCAGACCAGAAAATGCGAGACAGCGATAGAAATGGTTCTATGTGTGTTTGAGAGTGTTCTAACTTTTTGGCCAAAATGGTGACAATGGCCGCCATTATACCTAGTCATATGGCCATCATATAGACCACCCACTTTCCCCGGCCATAAGCCAGTCAATATGTTTATCGATTTCTGCCCTGCCGCTGCCCCTTCAACACTTTTGCTTTTCTGATGTTTTCTATTTATTGGATTTTTAGTATTTTTGTGGTGTTTTTTTTGTGGATTTTTTTGTGTGTTTTTTTGTCTTTTTTTGTGTTTTTTTGTTTTTTTTTTTTGGTTTTTTCTTACCCCTTAAAAAAGAATTAAATAAAAAACCTTCTTAATTGCGCTGGCGCGGTCGAAGGCCTAATCAAAATTAATTGTTTTTCATGTTGTATTTGAATTTCTTTCCCTTTCTCCATCTCTCTCTCCCTCTCTCTCTCTCTGTCTCTATAATTCTTTCCCTTTTCTACTGAGTCTTTGACTTGGCTTAATTAGCAGACGAGCCGCTGTTGTAGGTGTGTCCCTCTGGCACGCCTCCTTCCCCCGATGAGCAAAGTCACGCCTAGCTTTTTCTTTATATTTTTCTTATTTTTTTGGCCTCAAAAGTTTTATTTGGTGTTAGGCAATTAATTTTTGTTGCGTGCCCGAAGAGCGTTATTTTAATTTACAGTTGCAGCCAAAACTTCGAAATTATTAACTTTTATTAACTTTTTATTGGTTATAATAACAATATTATCGAAGGCAAACGAAAAACATCAAACGCTATGCCCGCGAAGGTTTGACATTACACCAAAATGTGCTTTTCACTTTTTAGTTAATTTATTTCTAAAAACAAAAATAAATATCGAAAATATATGCATAAATTTAAAGGCTAAAGAATTAGATGGTCGGTAGCTAAAAGTTGAAAAAAATATAATATAAATTGAAATGAATTCTTTGGCGTTTTAACATTTATCAAAAATCAACAACAAATGACGTCAGACCATGGCATTTATTAAATTAAAATGAGCCCCAAACTGGCAGACACAAAAAACTGGCAGATGATTAACAAAAAGCCAGCCAGCCAGCCAACACCAACAAAAATTTGTCCAAAAAGGTAAATTCAAATATTTGCGTTTTCAGAAAAGCAGAAAAAAAAAAGAAACAGAACATAAAAATATTGAATTGAAAATAAAACGAAAAGGAGAAGAAATTTAAAATAATATTTTTAGCTGGTTTTCTGGGAATTTAAATGGCCGCGAAAGCCAAGACAATTTAATGGTGAAAATTTAAGGAAAAATTTGGAAAAATATGCAGTAAAATGGAGAAATTAAACAAAGAATTTAATTTATTTTTAAAATATATATAAATGTTAAATGTTTTAATTAAAAAGCCAGGACTTGGCCAACTTTCCTAATAAAAACAAAGTCTCTTTTTCTTTGGAGTTTCTGGCCTTTTTAGCCAGCTCTTCTGCCCTTTTTTTGAGGCCAAAAGTTACTCAAAAATACGAAAATAAATTGCGTGCTGATGGCTCATTTAATTTAATGAGCGGCGTGCAACTTGTCTAAATGATTTTTCCTCAACTGGCATTTTTTCTTAGCTCTCTTCGAGGCCCCTATAAAGGCAGTTTCTGCTTCTCCTCTTCAGTAGGTAGTTGAATTTACCAAATAACAAGTCATTTTATTTTATTCGATGAATATTAGCGAAACACTTTGACTTAATGTTCAGGGGAAATCACAATAAAATTAAGAGAGAGAAACAAAAAAGATATTTAAAAAACTTTTAAGCTTAAATGCTAAAAGAAATGAAAACTATAATGAAAACACTTTCAACGGCAGCTAGCGGCGACCTCGTCAAACTCTTGGCAACTAAGTATAGTAAAGAAAAAAAAAAGAAAATACTACTCTATAGGCTATAGTAAAACAAAAGCAAAAACTATATAGCACCAGCAGGCACCGACCCAAGAATCAGGCACGCAATTTGATCATTAAACATGAAGCTCTTTAGCACACGAAAAACAACATCGGTTTGGAGATGGGCGAAGGCGAACTAGAGGCCCCATATAGAGACTTATACTGCCCCCCTCTTACTAACCACCCCCCTACCCCCTTGCAGAAATATGCATATGTAATTTGTTTATAAATATTCCTCTCAGCCTGACGCTTACTCGCTCCATTCTAGCCTTTGGCATGTGAAGCCTCTGCCTAGAGAATTCTCAACAAAAAAACCGAAAAGATATATCTGAAATCTTTAGATAGGAAGCACTCTCTTCTGCTTGGAGCTCTGAATGACTCATAAGAGGAGGCTGGCAAGACTGGAGAATTGCTCACTTAATTAGAAAAGAATTTGCAGCGAAGGTTTAAAAAGATTACAAATTCTGCAAGATGATAAGGCTGCTGCAGGGCGGGAAAAACAAAAGCTGACGCTGAATTTATTTTTAAAAACCCAAAAATTATTAGAAAGGAAATTCCCAGAATAAAATTATATTCTAAAGAAGTTATTTAAATTCTGAATCAGCTTAAATAATAAATAAGAAGACTTAAAAATGTTTTTTAGGATAATTTTTCTTTGATTTTTGGCTCTTATTTTCTGCTTTTTGAAAGTTTTTTCTGCCTAAATTAAATGAAAATTCTTTGTTAAATATTATAAAACATTTTCCAACTTATTTCTAATATATTTTCCCTTGAAAACTATATCTTTCTGCCTTCAACTAACCCAAACTGCCCACGTTTTCATTAACTTTTTTAAATGCTTTTTGGCCACTAAAGTAAACCACAGCGAAAACTGCGAACTGTGGCATTTTCCGCTGCTCCACTCTCCTTGATCTTTTCTATTTTGATTTTGTTTCTACAAAAAAAAAACGAGAAAAAAAGAGAAAAACACAAACAGAGAAACGAACTCGCCACACGTTAGACGAATTATATTTTATGCCACAAATTACGCTGCGGTTAACCTTTAAATTAAAATAACACCAAAACAATTTTTGTGCCGCATTTTGCAGGCGTTTGAAATGGCACACGAACTGAAAAAGATTTGCTGCAGTGGGGGGAAAACTGCAGCAGCTGCAATGCACATTTTTATACAAATTGCAATTGCATTTTGAATACGTTCCTTGCTGATTCTTACTCTCTCTCTTTCCTGCTCTCAGTCTCTGCACTTTTCGATGGCATAAAATAATCAAATTAAATTTATATATAAAAGAGAAGAGAAGAAGAGAAGAGAGAAAATTGCTTCCCGCCATTTTTCGCAAATTATAGCAGTGTAAAGTCATGGAAAATGGGTAAAATGGGAAAAATGGGTAAAAATAAAATTGTAAATAATAAAACCGCGAACTGAATGGATCGCTTTCGGGCCCGCTGGCAATGTGCAAAATGTGCAATAAAATTATATGCATCAAATGCACACACAAACAGGCAAACGGACGGACGGGCAGACAGACGACAGCCAGAATACCCCTATATATATATATATCTATCTGTACATCTGTATATATCTTCCACCGAGTTGAAAAATTCATTTGATGGAATTGAAATGGCGCGATTCGGGAAAAGAGCCGCAGGAGTATTACGAAAAAAGGGGGGGTTTTCGGCTGGGTATTAAACCACAAGCGTAAATTTATTCGGCCATATAAAACACACACCGCTGGCATTTTCCTTTGCTTTACTTTTTTAATACTCCCAAAGAGCAAGGCCCACCTTTTTGGTAACACACTTGCTAATTGGTAACACAAACAACCACTCTGAGAGAGACAAGTCTCTTTGCTACGTTTAACAAAAATCAAGTTCACTTGGCATGTTTATGATAATCAATTGATAAAGTCTAACTGCGATTTGGTAATAATATTATTTGAGAGAGGCTAAGAGGGCGGAGACTGACGGTCACCTGATTAGCATATAATTTATGATCCAGATGGATTATAAAAAAAAAAAAATTATTATTATTATGACTTTGCGGCGTTTAAACTGAAGGCGAGAATTTATGCCATATAAACGTGATGGAAAATGGTGGAAACATCGGGAGATCTACAGCGGGGGGCTCACTCTCTCTCTCTCTGGAGGTGAAGGTCCCGCATTCAATGTTTATATAACAACAAAAACAGCAACAACACTAAATCTAATAAATATTTATAGTGCGAAAAGTAAGTAGTCTTTGGTTAAGAGATGATAGTTCTTAAGCACGTGAACTAAATCAATTTTCTTGACCTTTGTTGGGGTTTCTTTTAGAGAAATAATATTTTTAAAAATTCTTAGGAATTATTAGAAATGATTTTTGACGTGTAAAAGCCAGAAAATATTTTAGTTTTTGTTAAACAAAATTGTTTTTAATTTTTGTTTTAACTTAAAAGATTTTTTCTTGGGTGAGAAAAGCTTTTAAGTCATTTCTAAAAGCATTTCTTTCACTTTTTTATACTAAACATCACTTTTCCTGAGTTCTTTTTGTAAAATAGATTTCCCAAATGAACTCAAAATAAAATGGTTGGCCTATAGATTCGGTTAATTATATAAACTTGTACGAGAAAATGACCCGCATAAATCAAAAGCGATTTCCTTCCTTCTCCAGCAAACTCAAACACAAACTCAAATTCTGGGTTTAAATTCATTTTGATAGGGCTCTATTAATAAATAAGAGCTGTATAGGCCATTGAATTGATTAAAATGGGTTAAATTAGGAGGGTTTTGTGGGTTGTATATAAGGAAATATAGAAAGTTATAGAGGAAAAAATTTTTGGAAGAAGGAAACTTAAGAAGGTAGAAAAGAAGTCCTGAATGGAGAAGAAAACTTAGAACTTCTTCATTTTCACTTTAGTGCCTAACCAACTATTTGATAGCTAAAAATCCAAAGAATTTTTAGTTTCTTAGTTTCTCTAATGATATAGAAACTATATAAAAACTGATCTACCTAATCTTTATAAACCAAAAACCTGCCGTCGGCCTTTTTAGACCTCTCAACTCTTTCCAAAAACACAAACTAAACTTCCTTCTTACTCAGCCGTCGCTACTTTTTCCTTTGGATAACAACACTCTCTAAAAGGATATATCCTTCTATAGGATATATAGATTATATAGTTTCATGATTTAACTTACCCTGGGCTGAGCCATTAATGCTCTGGGAGCGACGTCTAACCCGATTTGTGCCACTTTTTACAGTAGGAACAACAAATGGGGGCGCAACACACTGACCGACGTCCCACTTCCCGCCGCTGCTTCAACTGCTGCTGCTGCTGCTGCTGCTTGGCTCTTCGGGGAAGCTCTACTGTACTGGCTTTTGGCCCGTTTTGGAGTCCTTTTTCTTTGTCTTAGTTTTTGTAATTTGAATTTGTTTTTTATGTATTTTCGTTTTTTTTGCACTTTTTTACATTTATTTTGGAAGCTTCTGCTTTTTGAATGCTTTGCTTCTGGATTTTTGCTTTCCTTTCTTCTTATTTATTTCTTCTTCTTTTCTTTTAACACAGGCACATTTGTTTAGATTTTATGTATTATTATTACGTTTGTATACTTGTTGTATTGTTGCTGTTGCTGTTGTTGTTGTTACGCGCGCGTTAGTTGTTGTTTTTTAGAGCGGGAGATCTGTTTTTTTTCGAATGTTTCCTTTTTGTTTTTTTCTTTTTTGAGTTATAATAATTATTTACATAGAATTTGTTTGGTTTATAAAAATCGTATACAATTTGTTGTTAGTTGCCGTTGCAGTTGTTGTTGTTGTTGTTGTTCTTGGTATACTCGTGTATTGTTGTTGCTGCAACATCATTTGTTATTAAGTTGCATTTGTTGTTGTCATAAATCCATGGCGTTTTCCTCAAACTTCCTCTCTCTCTTTCTCTGTGGATTTCTTGTTTGCCTTTTCCTTGGTTTATGCAATTTTTTAAATATTTTTTTAGAATAGTAGTAGTTGTTGTGGTTGCTTTTTGTTGTTTGTTTTCTTTTTTTCGTATACTCTTTTTGCTTTTTTTTCGTATAATATGCGCACTATTTATCACAGCTGCTTCTACATACTACGTTACTAGAGATGAACAAATTATATTGTTAATAATAATCTATAGTATTTATTTTTGTGTTTTTGCGACGGCAATTTGCTGGTAGTTTTGGGGTTTGATTTGCTTGTTTGCGGGGGGATCGGCGGGATCCCCTCGTTTAAAGAAATTCCCTCCGCGGCCCTCGAATAATTGTTAATTATTTGGGCCTTTCGTGAAATGGTTAATTTTCCCAATCTTTTGGTATCAAAAAACACACAAGTATATTAATAACGTATAACTGTTGGCGCGAATGGAAAAACGCGCGCGATTTCCAAGTGTTTTTGTGGTTTTTTGTTTTTAATTAATTTGATTTTATTTCTTCTTATTAATATTTATTTGTTTGTGATTGATGGCAAAACGCGCGATTGGTAACGGCAATAATAATAATAATAATAATAATAATAATAATAAACTTCACCGACGGCAACGCTTTTTCGCTTTTCTTCTCTTTTCTTTTTTTTATGTTATTCGAACGCAACGCAACACAGACACACGTCGTACGCGGTTCGCAGTCAAAAATACACTGTGCGGATGAAAGATATTTCATCGAAAAACCAACCCGCCAATTAACGTTAACAGATGGACGTGTTTGTGGCCTAACATTGCTGTTAGCTAACATAGCAGAGAGCGGAGAGCAACAGTTCAACAGTAAACGCTATGAGAGTGAACAGTACAGCATGGTTGTCAATCATCAAGCTGCCCTGCTCGACCGCTCTCTCTGGTTCAGATGCAACAATTGTGCCATTAACTCGCTCATGGCCATAACTCAGCGAGTGCAAGCGAGAGGAATATATATATAAAACGAATATACGATATTGTTTATGCGCACGCTCCGGCGAATTGCGGGCGGTGGCGAGAGAGCGCAGGCGCTCTCACATCTTTGGGCGACGATGACTGATTTGTTGGTACGCCTCTTCTGTCATGCACACACTTGTCATTCACATGCATTTCACATATATATATATATATAGTCTCTCTCTCTCTGTTTCGCTTTTCGCCTCTTTTTGCGCAACGTTTCGCCGCGTTTGAAATTTATTTGGCTTTGGCCAAAAGGAGACGGCTTATGGGTTTTTCGCCTCTGCCGGCTTCGGCGTTGAAAATCAGCAAAAACCAATCCCATTTGTTATTTTCGCTTGAGTGAGTGGCAGTTGGCAGCTTGGCTCTCTTTCGCCGCACCTTTACTTTGCACACAGGTTGAAAAACGCACACACAGCTAGAGAGTGTGAGAGCGAGAGAGTGGGGGCGCTTTTCAGTTGTCCATCAGCTTTCGCTCACTTTTCGCTCTCTTTTGGCACACTCGTCTTTACACACGCAAACACACACACACTTGCATGCGAATAGGCAACGCCTTCGAAGAAAAGCGGCAAAAAAAAATAGAAGAACACCAGAGGAGAAGAAACTCTAAGGAGAAGAAGAAGAAGAAGAAGAAACGGCGACGACAAAAACAAACTTTTCGCTGCAGTTTTGTTGTTTCGCTTTTTTGTTTTGTAACGGTGATCTGGCCACTTTGAAAGGATATGTGATCCTGACAACAACAAACAGCTGTTTGCCTATACCCCTCTCCTTCTCGGTCGCCCTCTGTCTCTTTCGCCTTCTTCGCGGGACAACAACAAATGGCACGGCGATAAATTGCCAAAAACATTCGCTGAAAATTGCATATCCTGCAGGTCATTCTGCGCTCCTGTCTGGCGACTCGTCTTTTTTTACTTTTGGTTTTTTAATACCCTACAAGGGGAGTTTTTTAACTTTGATGGAAAATAAGTTTATGAAACATAAAAAATCAGGTAAAAGTGTTAGGAAAATAAGATTGATTAGGCACGTTAAGAGGCCCTTCTATGCCTTAAATTTAATTCAAAAACTTAAAATAAACTTCAGATTAAAAACATAGAATATTTTTAAGCAAATATTTTTTCAGAAAAGACAAAGTTTAAGTCCTTAAAAATTAACTAAGGTCAAAATGTATAACTTAAAAATGATTTAAGTCAAAATTTAATCGCTCTTTCCTTCACTTTATAAACTAAAGAACCCGCAAAGTTTATCCTTTAACTATTCCCGATCCCCTTCTCTCTATCCCTTAAAATCCAGGGTATTCAGACCTTCGTATACCCTGCAAAGTCCTGTCTATTGTTGGTGTTATTGTTGCTGTCGTGTCGTCGTCCTCGTGGCAGTTTAAAAAGCAGTTAACACATATTCCCAGGCAATTTTTCACCAGCGTATTTTTGGCTTGGCGCTGCAGTTGCCATTACGACGAAAGAGATGGGAATATTTGGGGTGCGGCGGGGGGTGTTGGATATGAAAGAGACGGGGCGATTTGGCCGGCGTTTTTAGGAAAATGAAAAATAGCCTTGTTTGTTTTCCGACGCTCGCCAAAAGGATTTCCCGTGTCTGTTTTCGCTGGTCAAAAAGATGATGTTGCACTTAATCTGGTTGCCATTTCATCTCGAAATCTTCCCAACCCCCCCTCAAAATTCTTTGGGGGGGAACTCTATATGTATGATATAGGGGTTTCCTTCTGTGTCTTGTCAACACTTTGACAAATTTATGAGACTTTGATTGATTTGCGGTTGTCTTTTCATTTCGGCTTGGGCTTTGCTTTCTTTTTAACCTTCTCTCTCCTTTTGGCCGGCAGACTTTTGTGTGGCTTCTCGAGTAATTTATGTGAATCGAAAAGCACATAAAATCGAATCAATTAAATGCAATAAATTAGCCCAAAGCTTTAGTGTGGGAACTAGTCGGTTTGATGACCAAATTAAAAGCGAAAAAAATAAAACAAATTGATCGTTGAAGGTGGCAAAGGTCAAGGATCTTAAGTTTATTTCTTGGGGAAACTTATTGGGTGACTAAGATTTTGATAAGAGGCTCTTAATAAGCATCAAATTTCGCAGAATTGAACTTTCTGTTCTTCCAATGAAAGTTGATAAGAAGAGATAGTGCCAAATTTTCAAAGAAAATAAATATTTTTCTAGAATAATGCAAAATCTGTCAGCTTCAAAATCACGCGGACTGCGAGATAAGTTTATCTGCAAAACAAAAAGCTAAACTAACTAAATTCCTAACTAACTAAATTCCTGGAATTAAAATAACAATTAGCTTGCAGTTTTCGTTAAACTTTAAAATAAAATATAAATAAAGCCCTAATTGTCTTTTTTTAATGATTAACTTAAAATAAGCATCCCAAAGTTTAACCCCAAAAATAGGGAAAAATCCAAGACAGACTCAGACCATGAAAATCTCAAGAATTTTCTCAACTGAAAAAGGAATTTAATTTAATATTTAGAACTTTGCCAAATTGAAGGGACCATGAAATTTAAATCACCAAAAAAAAAGGAAAATAATCAAGAGGAGAAGAGTGAAAGAGAGAGAGAGGAGGGGCAACTCAAGAGGGGAAGAGAGCGAATTTAGGGGGCTGGGTCTCCACCCACCGAGAGCACGAAAACAAAAAAAAAAAAAGCAAAGAAGAAAAGCCGAAAAGGAATCGACTCGGGAAAACCTCAAGGAAAATTGCATTTGGAAACTTCCAATCCCAGACGAGCGAAAGAGAGGGTAGAAGAAAGGCAGAATGAGTGAGAGGTGGGTTGGAGAGTGCGAAGGGAAAGCTCACACACATACACTCACACCAATTGGGGGGCAGCCAATATGATTTAAACACTAAGGCACGCACACACTCAGGCACTCTGGCTGACTTACAAAACACCGACAGTGATGTTAACGCTGGCAGCACAGTCAACGTCGACGACGACGACGCCGGCCGAGAAGTGTGTGTTGTGTGCATGACAATTCATCTCTTTCTTATAAACGCAATTTATCAAACGCAAACGACGAGCGACAGCAAAAGATGAAGACGACGACACGATATCAACTTGATGTGGCGCCATCTCGCTCGCTCGCACTCACTCACTCAAGCAAAAAACAGAAACGGCAAGCCAAAAACAACCGAGACCAAAAATTAAATAAAAAAAAAATGGCACATGAAGAAAAATAGGAGTTGCCGTCGGCGCTCTTCTTCTACTTCAACGCCGTCGCTGCGAAAATAAAAAGGAAAACCAACAAAAACAAAAAAAAAAAAGAACACTGAGAAACAGCAACAAAGTGACTGAAACCGCCATAATCTTGACAGACAAGTGCACGGGCTCTCTTCGCCGCACTTTTAATGGTTTGTTTTTGTTCGAATTCGCCGGAGAGTGGAGGGCCAGAGCGAGAGAGAGTGCCGCCGGCGTATCAGAAGGAGATGGCCTGCGTTGCATTGCGTTGGAACGAGAAGCACTATATATTTTATGGCAAAGCGTTTTACAGCTGTTTTACAGTTGCAGAGTCATTGCTTAGATAGGTATGTTAAGTAGTTATGGAGTCACTGGAGTTTCAGGATCTTCATTATTTTTAGTTTTAAGTTTGTTCTTGTTTTTATTTGTAAATTAAAGAGTTTTTAAAGTTTTTGAGTTTGGGGTTTTTATTTTAAAAAGTAATATATTCTGTTTGCCTTTATTGTTTAATTTTATTTTTCAAGTTTTTGGTTTAAAAATGAGTTTAAGAACGCGAGAATCACTTTAAATATTTTGAATTTTGTTTTGACATCGATTTTATGTCTACAAATTGCACATTTCACTTAGTATCTCAGTTCGGTTCGAAACAAATTGCATTTGAAAGACGGCAGTTCACGGGTTTACCTGCATATTTACCTGTTTTGTCAGCTTCTTCCGTGAATCTTCCTTTTGCCTACTAATTTTTTTTTTGTGACTTTCAACGCTTGAGAAGGCTCATAAAAGGCTTAGGACACTTGTACATAAATCTACCTGATCTATTGCAACTCACACCCTCTACACAGAAAGAAATTAGTAGGCAGTAGTGGGATTATTCTATCAAAAAAACTTGCCAATAAAGTAAAGATACCTTTAAGGGATCTAAATATTATTTCTTTCTGTGCATTGGAAGGTCCTTTTGAAATTTTATTTAGTTTTCCTTCGAGTCATCGCGTTCAGCCTACTTTAACTGACCCGAAGAAAAATCGATGGCAAATTTGCTGGTTAAACAAATGTGCCGGGTCATCCAGGACGATGTCCTTTTGGCATTTTGGGCTCTGTTTAGCTCTGCTTTTGACAGCCGCCGACAAAAGTGTCAATTCCATTTCGGCCAGCCGTCGGGCCTGTCAACAAACATGGCCCAAAACACCCGCCCACTATCAGCCCGCTAATCTCAAGGACACACCGTCGGTGTTTCTAATAATATTTGCCTTTAAATTTTGCTGTCTTTTTTCGGTGATTTTTTATGGTTTTATCAGAGGATATTTAAGATTTTTTATTTTTATAATTTAATTCAATAAATTTACTCTTTCAATCGTTTTTTTTTTGGTTTCAAAACTTTTGCCACAAAGTTAATTTCAAGGTGATTAAAAAGGTTTCCCAACTCACTTACCTGCTCCGAGGTTTTGATCATACTTTACCTGCAAAGAGAGAGAAAAATGAGGAAAATAGAATTAGTCAAAGGCAAGGATAGTCCAATGAAGTTGATCTGAGGAAAAGTCAGCAAAAGGGAAAACATTTGGGAAATGC